TTCTACCTGATACTGGCGCCATAAAATGGTTTCAATGGAAAGCAGCTGAACTACTTTCAATTCCTGATAGTGTAGCTGCTACTGAAAGGGCAGCTAGACTGACCTTTCAGAGTCAAAACCATGGAATGGTTCATGAACCTTTTCTTAGAGTCCTATAATTGTTGATGGTGATAAAAAAAAAAGTGGAAAGACTTTAAAGAATCAGGAAGATGCATGTCAAACCTCTTTTTGTCCCATTTTCAGAATTTTACTCTTAATTTAAAAGTTGTATTTTTTTTTTTTGTCTGATTTAAACTTTTCTTCAGTTCTACGTCTCGTCAGAATGAATCGCATGTTGTTTTTCTGTTGCCTCTCTTGATACTGAGCAGGCAAAATGAACCTGATGTGGCCAAACCTTTAATGGTCATTACCTCATTTTTCCATCCATTTGATTTTTTTTCTACATTCAATCAGTTTCCATCCGTGTTCAGATTTTCAGCTCATATGTAGTATTTCTGCAAGGCCCTCGTCTTCATCAAACTGACCACAGCTATCCATCATATTAAATTACATTTCCTTGTTGGCAAGTTCTGCTGTGCAATGATTAAAGCATAACGTCTTTTTTTGCAAATCTATTACTAATCTTAACTTTTTATTTTATTTATTGCACTTGAAGAATAGTCCCTTCTGTAAACATCTGGATTTGGCCTGCTGGGTTTTATCTGGTCTGATATGATTATCCTTCAGAAGTTGTGTTTGATTGCATTCAGTTGACATGAACCCTTTTAGAGAATCTATGGAAACTAAATGTTCAATATTCCATTTTTTCAGTTATACACTTGACAGAATCATAGCAAAGAACTACAGATTTATTTTTTATTTTTCGGTATTGTGTCAACCCCGCCTCTCGCCCGAAACATTCGCTGGAGATAAGCACCACTAGAGAGAAGAGTGTAAGGAAATGGATGGATGGATGGATGGATGGATGGATGGATGGATGGATGGATGGATGGATGGATGGATGGATGGATGGATGGATGGATGGATGGTATTCTGTCTGGCAATGGAGCAGGCAAAATTATTATATGTGCAAAAAAGAATGAAAACAAATTTAGTTCCACCAGTGGAACATTACAGCTGTTGATATAAAGCTGATATATCTGATATATGGTGCACCTAATATGTTTATTTTAAATGTAATGGAAAGTTACAGTGAAAAGGTAGGGAGAAAGAGGAAAGAGAAAGAAAAAGAGGTAAGGCAAAACACTAAAAGAGAGAAATAAGAACAGAGGAGAGAATGAAAAATAGAGAGAACACAAGAAAACAAACACCATATAATCTGTTTCTGCACCTGCAGAAAGATGGTCAACAAACACAAAAAAGCATTTGGCACTAATTAAAAGAAAATGTATTTAGCAGTAAGTGCAGAGTGAACACCTGAATCCTACCTGAGTGAACATCTGGGCTCGTACAGCAGCTGAATGTCTGCAGGAAATGTTTTTGTTGTATTTGAGGAAAGATGATGATTTCTCTGATGGTAGTTGTGGTCTATGTGTGTGTGTGTGTGTGTGTGTGTGTGTGTGTGTGTGTGTGTGTGTGTGTGTGTGTGTGTGCGTGTTGTGTGTGTGTGTGTGTGTGTGTGTGTGTGTGTGTGTGGGTGTGTGTGTGGGTGTGTGTGTGTGTGTGTGTGTGTGTAGAAGTAAAGGTGTTTGTGTTGTGTGGGTGTGTGTGTGTGTGGTGTGTGCGTGTGTGTGTGTGTGTGTGTGTGTGTGTGTGTGTGTGTGTGTGTGTGTGTGTGTGTGTGTGTATGTATTAGTGTGTGTGTGTGTTGAAAAGCTGAGGTTGTGGGGGGGAACAGCGGGGGGGTCTCTACTCCAGATCCAACCAATCACAGCTCATCATCACCCCGAACAGAATCACATCCTGGTCTTTCTTCGCCACGCTGCTGCCGGTGACGTCACCTGCTCCCCTCGTCAACCTCCTGATGGCTCTCTTCATCATGGCAACCATCACCATGGGAACTGTTGCACACATTACTTGTGGTCGTCAAGGCAACCTGCTTGAATAATCCTGCCTCTCCTCCTCCTCTTCGCCTCCCCCTCCGCCTGGCATACTTGTTTCTGTGCTGTGTTCCTGCTCAGTGAGAGGATGGAAAAGGGCAAACCGTGTACTTATGTTGATCACTCCACTGACAGTTCACATTTAATACGTTCCCAAGGCCCCACCAGCCTCTGCTCCACAAATACAACAGCTGGCTAAGATGGGGAAGGTGGAGGTGGATTTTTGTTCTGCCTCTTATGTGATCAGAGAAGGCAGGGAGCAGAGAGAGTGTGCAGGGATGACACGTCCCTGCACAACATCACATCCCCTACTGCTTAGCTCTTGATTAAAGCACTCTGATGAACTGGTTTCCATTAACATGTTCTTTGTAAAACACCTGTTGTACTTTTTTTACTTCCCCCCATGTGGATTCTGACCATGTTGCCAAGCATTCACAATTACCTTAAGGAGTAGAAACACCATCTGCATTGTGGCCGGAGTGACGGATCATCAGCAGGGATGTGTTTGTTTCCAACAGATTCCAATGTCTCAATTTAAAACAGCATGTGTTAAATATGCATTTACACCTGTCTGTGTTGCAAAAGCAGAACATTCTTGTCAACAATTACTTCTTTCATGATGAAAGAAGCTGCACCATCAGAAAAACATGTTTTACTTCTATAAGCATCAAACCAATATGCTGGGTTTTAAAAAACTTCATTTCTCTTATTGGAAACAACTTTTTAAAGATTTAATCTGGCTCATTTCAGATTCACTACAGCCCAGCCTTTCACCCAGTGGCCTCTGGAGATCTCCAATACAACACTGCATGGACAAGCAGGTTTAAACAATACATGGACGAATGGACATTCACCATGTTTAAAAAGTTAAAGGAAGTCTCACCTTTGCTATTAGAGATGAACATTGATTTGATATGTTGCCATAGCAATAAGGTATTGGTTTTACAACCGGGAGCAGCTGATTAGCATAAAAAAAACTACAGTAACAGTTGAAGAGGAGCTGAACAGGAGGCTTCATGGATACAAGTTCAAACCATCTCTTCCATCCATCATGATGGGCAAGGACAGCATCCCCTACTCCAACATCATATCCCCTACTCCAACATCATATCCCCTACTCCAACATCATATCCCCTACTCCAACATCATATCCCCTACTCCAACATCATATTGCCTACTCCAACATCATATCGCCTACTCCAACATCATATCGCCTACTCCAACATCATATCCCCTACTCCAACATCATATTGCCTACTCCAACATCATATCCCCTACTCCAACATCATATCTCCTACTCCAACATCATATCCCCTACTCCAACATCATATCCCCTACTCCAACATCATATCCCCTACTCCAACATCATATCCCCTACTCCAACATCATATCTCCTACTCCAACATCATATTGCCTACTCCAACATCATATTGCCTACTCCAACATCATATCCCCTACTCCAACATCATATCTCCTACTCCAACATCATATTGCCTACTCCAACATCATATCCCCTACTCCAACATCATATTGCCTACTCCAACATCATATCCCCTACTCCAACATCATATCTCCTACTCCAACATCATATCCCCTACTCCAACATCATATCCCCTACTCCAACATCATATCCCCTACTCCAACATCATATCTCCTACTCCAACATCATATCTCCTACTCCAACATCATATTGCCTACTCCAACATCATATTGCCTACTCCAACATCATATCCCCTACTCCAACATCATATTGCCTACTCCAACATCATATCCCCTACTCCAACATCATATCCCCTACTCCAACATCATATCCCCTACTCCAACATCATATCTCCTACTCCAACATCATATCTCCTACTCCAACATCATATTGCCTACTCCAACATCATATTGCCTACTCCAACATCATATCCCGTACTCCAACATCATATCCCCTACTCCAACATCATATTGCCTACTCCAACATCATATCTCCTACTCCAACATCATATCCCTACTCCAACATCATATCCCCTACTCCAACATCATATCTCCTACTCCAACATCATATCTCCTACTCCAACATCATATTGCCTACTCCAACATCATATTGCCTACTCCAACATCATATCCCTTACTCCAACATCATATCCCCTACTCCAACATCATATTGCCTACTCCAACATCATATCTCCTACTCCAACATCATATCTCCTACTCCAACATCATATCTCCTACTCCAACATCATATCTCCTACTCCAACATCATATCCCCTACTCTAACCAGTGCTTGACAACAGCTGACAGCAGGGCCTGTTACCATATTGTCTTTGCTGCTCAGATGTTAAGATGTTAGCATTTCATACAGCAATAGTCTTCAGTCAGAGACTTCCTCAGACTTGCTGCAAGAGTGACTGCTACTGGAAATTGGTTCAGGTGTGTTGAAGCACGATGCATCTGAAAGTTGAAGGATGGCAGCTTTTGAGGACTGGACTTGAGCGCCCCTGTCCAGAGGTGTCCTGTCTGAGCTCCTGTTCATATGACCAAACCAAGCTGGAGTTTGTTAAAATCATAAACCACCAAGATCTGCTTCCAGATTTTTCCATACATTTTCATTTAATATTTCATATATTTCTGGCCATGCTATCATCCACTTCATGATTATTTCTCCAAGGCTTCACGTCACTGAAATAACATCTTCCACTAAATGTTTCTGCGCCTCTTTATTTATAATTAAACGATTGTTTTAGTTTGCAGTAACTTGTTTCCAAGTCATCTCCTGACCCGGAATCCGGCCCCCGCCCCCTGCAGCCCGGTCCGGTCCAGCCCGGTCCGGGAGCTGTTCTTCAGCACCACTGGAACTGATCCCAGAGCAGCGGCAACAAAACTGAGTAAGCCAGCCGCAGATTTCACCTCTGAGCTTTAACTAGACGGTTTGTGTCTCTCCAAACTGCCTCCGCTTGCAGCGGTCCAGTCACTGACCTTTGTGGTTCCGGAGCCGGTGGAAACCCGCCTGCTGGGATCTCTGCAGCGCCGACAGTCCCGACACGTTGTTCCCCATGGCGGGATGAATGCTGGAGAATTCCCAGTGAACGATCCGACCGATGATGGGAGAAGTGAAACCAAACTCTCCTCTTTACTCTCAGACATGCAGTCGCGCCTCAGTTTCCGTCCAACCACGGAAGCGGAAAAGACGCACAGGTGGGCGCAGAGTGAGCGGATAAAACGTGAGCAGAGACGCTGGGAGCAGATTTGACTTGATCAGAGATTTGATGCTTCAGTAATCCGCGGCAAAAAGCTGCGGTTCAAAACATGATCGCATAAAAGCAGCTCAAACATTTTCCATAAACTGATTTGTTTATTAACTCAGTTATGTTCAGTTCGAAGAGCCGAGTGGATTTAGAGTTTATGGGTTCTACAGGACGGGTTCTACAGGACGGGTTCTTCTTCATCTCCAGCTGGGAGAAACTCTTTTCTCCTCAGATCTGCTGGAATAAAAAGTCTAACACTAAAAACATAATCCACTCACTGTGTGAAGCTGCCATCTAGTGTAAATCATCACAGGGACGGAACCAATCAGTTCAGGTTAAAAACTCACTTTCTTTCTAAAATGTGAGGAAAATCATTTATTTTCCTTCCAGCTTCAGGTCAACATTTCCCAGAATGCTCTGCTTTATGACTCATATGGTTAATCTCAGAACACACAAACTGGAGACAGAAATGAACCTTCATCACGTAGAACAGTGTTTGTTTTAGTCCAGTGTCCGATTATTGATTATTGAAAACTGGACACATCTGTAACATCTCCACACTGTGTTCTTTTGATGTCAAATATTACAGCTTTTCATCTCTGGTGATAAATCCTCCTGAAGCAGGACTGGGTTGATTCCATCCGTCCGTCCAGTAATCAAAAGGTTCACACCTTGTGCCTCGCAGTGTGGATAAATAAAAACTAAATCATTTTGGGGGAATTTCCCGACACATAAGATGCAGGATATGAAATATAAAATGCAAAAGCTTATTGGAGAGGGATTTAGACTGGGTGAGGAGTATTGATGAACAACAGCTGAATAGGTCAGTGGTTGATTGATGGACGTATCCAGAACCTGTTTGTGGTTCCAGGAACTGGTTCGGATGAAAACTGAATTTATGACTCTTGAGATCAGTCATGAAGGTTATTGAAGGTCCAGAGGTAAAGCAGTCACTCAAACCTAAAGACTAAAGAAGGAACGAGTTCAGCTGGAGGTTCGTCAGGCAGAAAGTTCAGAATCACTAGAAACTGGAGACCCAGAGACTGGAGTTCATCAATAAAGGCTGATCGACAGGCACTGAATGATCATCATGTCGCTCCTTAAATCACCAGTAGAAAGGTCAGTCAGTCAGTCAGTCAGTCAGTCAGTCAGTCAGTCAGTCAGTCAGTCAGTCTACTGCAAAATGAAGTAAAGAAAGATTATAACTTAACAAATCAAATAATTTTTTAGGCTAATTTAACTGAAAAAACTAATACAAATAAAAAAAATCATAAAAATCAACATTGAACTACATGTTTGTGATTAAATGTAAAATAATTACCAGCTACATTTTCTTAAACTGATAGGAATATCCAGCTCGTTATGAACATTTCCCCTGAATGATGGATCTGCTTTCTGTCTTCCTGACAGCCTGAAAGGATGATCTACTTATATCTAGGATTTTATATTCCATATTTCATGAGTAAAGACTGGAATACAGATTGATTTGTAAATTCAGAGCTTCAACTTTGGTCTCAGAAAAATTGTCTCTTCACTCCAAACTTATCCAGATTTACCTGCAGCTCCATTCTGCAGTCTCTTAGGACCAGGATGAAAATATGATGCCTTCATATTTTCAGCAAACTGATATATTACTCTGAAGCATTCTCCTTTTTATTAAATACACACTTCTCATCTCATAACATGCACTTGCACTTAACAGCCAACAGCTTCAACTGGAGGTATTAAAAGCTAAATCCGACACGATGACGTAAAATGACTTCACCTGAGGCGAGAGCAGCTCTTGACTCAGAATACTCCTGACAAGAGACAGAGAACATTCTCTGAGAGGTAAACGGAGAAGCTGTGGGCTGCAGGCCTTTCATCGTCACAGAGTATTGGTATGAGCCTGAACTCTGTTAGACACACTGAGTCACATTTTCTGCTCTACCTTCACTTCCATAGAAGTGCTCACCTTAGGTTTATTGTCTTTTTTAAAGGAGGTACATAAAAGAAAAGGCCAGTGGGCTTTGTGCTAAACAAACTGCTGAGATCAATAAGGGAAATGTTGCCTTGGACATGAGTAACTGCTGACTGCTGGAACAAAGAAACCAACTCTGCTTTGGAGAGAAGTGAGGAAGGTAAAAGTACAAAAGGCAGCAGAGTTTCAGCTCCACGCCAATCACAACGGTTCATAGAAGAGCTGAGGTGATGTGCACCTGCCTTTCATTGTTTCTGAATTTAGCTGCAGCTCAACTGCTTCTGAAGTGAAAAATGATGCAGCAGGCAGAAAAAGATTTCACTCAAATAAACCCTGAAAATGTTTCGCTGCAGATTTACTGACGAACAGCACAACATGACGTCCAAACCCAAAGAGCTTCTTCACATCTTGTCGCCACCTTCAGTTTAACTTCTTGGTATCTTATGAGACAGACCAGGATAGAGTTGTGTGCATTGTGAAGAGGAAGGGAAATGAGACATGATTTTCAACATATTTTATTAATAACATAAAGAACATGTGATGAGTTGGTAATTCAGCCATCCTAGAGTCGATCCTTTGTGTTGTTATCTGTCCCAAGTGGTCAGATAATTATTAGCCAAACTACCAGTAAAGAAATCAGTTTCATTCATGCCATAGTGTGAAATAATGTTGTGGTGCTTTTTATTGGATCGGTTACATTAATTACACAGATATGGATAATTAATGTAAAGTATTATCTGTTTTCTTGACCTTGTGGTGTTTATCTGCGTTAGTTTTGCATTGCGCCACATAACATGATGGTCCAGTTGGCTTTTCGTGTACAGAGCTAAAGTATGAATTACTTTCAGCTCTGACTGTTTGTTCAGCCTCCTCAGCATGCTGTCGAGGTCTCAGCATCGATAGCTAACATGTCTTGGTATCCTGAGGCAGAGGAGCATCCATGAAAATCCATAGTTTAAATAATCATGGTCATGATTCCTTGCTTTTTGTTCTGCTTGCCTCAGACTCAGTCTCGTCTCTCACTGTAGCTTTCGCTACAAAAATTTTTACCCATTTTGTTTTGGGCATGGACCCGAAGAAGTGGGATAAATGCTTGAAGTTGAAATTTTCTCATGTTGCACCTCAAGAGCTCCTAGAGGAGGCTCAGCCCACACTTTGTGAAGCCCTGGCATGTGCTGCAGTTTTAAATGCAAAGGTGTGAATGTTACCTTGCTACAGCAGCAAACCAAAATGACTGAAAGCCCGGAGTGAGTGGTGAGAGAAACATCGTTTCACAGAATCTTTGGGGGAAAGAAGAAGGAAAACTGTTGTTACTGATCTGTCAGTCAGATGTTTTAGAGCTTGCCGCCCGTCCAGGCAGCTGGCTTAATTAATACAGGAGGGTATTTCTCCCAGTTTCCACTGGTTGGTACACAAATGGAGGATCAAAAACAGAGGAAATGATTCTGAGATCATGCAGTCAGACAGTCACTGACAGCAGAGTGCCTCCCAGTTCTGTCCCCCTCCATCCCACCAGTGACTCCTGGCCCCCGGTGTTTCTGTGGCAGCGGCCAGGTGCAGCCCAGCCAAGTGTTCCTCCATGCCAACCCAAACTGTCCCTGGCAAGGGTGAATGTTCAGCTGTTGCCTGCATTGTTTCACAGATCCAGTTTTTTTGGTTGTTGTTGCTATTGACATCTACAATTTGCCACAGCTTGAAGTGACATTTTACTACCAGGCAGCTGCATTGACTCTGGAAAATGGTCTTCATTTAACTCTTCCCTTGTACCTGACAGACTTACAGCATCCGTACCACTACAGCGAACACTGAGCTGTTCTTCCCAGAATGTCAGCAGATGACCCGGAGGTAACCCACACGGCACACCTCGCCCCTCATGTTGTCTGTACATGCATGGCTATGGATGCAGGAGCCAGAGAGGCAAAGAGGGAGCAGATCTGAGAGCAGCTTCTCGCTGTGCAGATGAAAGCCTGGAACGGCGCTCTCATCTCAAACAGCTAAGCAGTCCTCAGAGTCCAGCTCTGCCTCTCCTTCCTCCATCAGTCAGGCAGGAACTGAACACCGTTTGACCTTTCTGGAAAGCCGGACTGTAATTTTGTTTCTCGTTTGGGGGGGAAATAAAATATCAACCCACCTCGAATGGAGAAAAAAATCCTCAGAGCCTGAGGGGGAATGAAAAAATGATTTTTGTTTGGCATTCAGAGTCTTGCATCGACATTCTGCTCGGTGCGCTCTCCCACCGTGGGGCTTTTAAATGTGATTTATGTTCAGATGCAGCTTCAGAGTCCAAACACCTCTCATCATCTGATTTCACATCAACACCCATCTTCATTTCCAAGCTTTTCAGCCCCAAACAAAACTAATATAAAGTATCTCTAATTAAGTTTCCACAGGTTCTGTTTCTCACCTCTTAATCTCCAAATTCTTCATCCTTCCAAATGTAATTCAAACCATCCACAAGGGGGCACTGTTTCAATACATTAGAATACCTCTCCTTCCTCTACTGATGCTTTCTTCCTGTCAGAAGATGGTAGATCATTTCTCATCTGAAAAATTTGCAATTTAGCTTAAATTTCATCTGGATGCATCAGGCAGTGGAAATGTAGGAGCATCTGTAATGTTTCAGGTGTGCTGCAGGAGCGCAGAAACCTAAAGTGCTTTTTGATGTGCCACCACCTGATGTGCATTCTGATTTCACTTGGGTTGTTCTGCTCAAGCTGCTGCAGGATTTTACTCATTTCCTCTGAAGGAGGCACAAAGTGGGACATTAGACAACAAATCTAACAAAGTTAAAGACAGGCAGGAGAAATAGGTGGTGAGATGATAGGGGGGGAGAAAAAACAGGAAATGAAATCTCTCAAAGCAGAGAGGCATCACCCTTCCCAACAAATCATTTTATAAACAGGACGATCATCTCTTTAAGAGGAAAATCAGGTGTTGTTTCTACAGTTTTCTG